CCAAATATTCAAATCTCAGTTGAATGTTCTTTAACAACTAACTTGCAAGTAAATAAAAAGCTATAACTAAACTAGAAGGTTGTAAACAATTATGAGAAAAGCTAAGGCAATGATTTCCCATATTGATGGAATCCCTTCTGTTTATGCTCATACAAATTTACCAACACATCTCTATCAATCATGAACGCTAATCTTACCGCAAATCTCTCCCGAGTAATCACAGTAATCTACTATTGCACTCTCCCGAGATACACTAGCTTGCTTAATTTCGCACAATTCAATTTAAATTGCACCCAAGGTTTCGTTATTCCTAATCCCGCCTTTAAACCCACAATTATAGATTCCTCTAATAATCTAGGAGTGGTGTTGTTCAACAATACCCTAAATATGCACTCTTTTCCAAGTTATGCACACTAATTAGGCACAGCTAATTGAGGATCTTGTCAATTAACTACAACGAACACGAAGTTGAACAAATAAAGATTTAACTAGCAATTTGTATTCACATAAACAAGAAGTTCATCACTCAATAGGTTCCATCAAAGCCTTAGACAAGGAATTTAGCTACTCATGACTATGGGAGAATAAACTAAGCTTGAATTCATCATAAAATCAAAAGAAAAGAAGAAAGATGTTTAGAGTACTTTCTCACAATTGTTTTTCTTGCTAAGAACCCTTAGAAATCAATACATGCCTCTTTTGGGCGAAGTCTAGCGTTTTAAATAGGGTTTAGGTCTAAAAATCCCGTGTTTTACACTTAAGTCCCCGAAGTTTACTGTGCCCACCGCGGTTCTACCGCGGTCGCGGTAGAACCGCGGTCAAACGCCTTCGCGGAATCTTCAACCTTCAGAGACTGCCTTCCACCGCGGTTTCACCGCGGTCGCGGTAGAACCGCGGTGGAACTTGTACCCGGGCATTTTGGCCTGTTTTGAATGGGTTACTTTGGAAATTCAACAATTAGCCTCTTTTCATCAATAGTTGACTCCAAAACCGCTCCTTAGCCTTCCTTACACCTATATCACCTGCAAATCATGTAAAGCACTAATAAGAGCATTTTGTTGTCATTTTCCACATTAAAAGTTCACAAGAAGGTGATTATTTGGTGCGTGATTATAGTCAAATTCACCTATTATCAACACCCCACACTTAAACCTCTGCTCGTCCTCGAGCAAACTAAACCACACTTCTAGGCCTAACTGCTCAATGCATTGCCCCAATTTATGTCACACCTGCTATTATCAAAAATTGACCTAAGCGGTGCACGATCATATCTCAAATGCAGACTCTCATGCCAAGACACACTTGTGCTCACTCTAATTACTCTAACAGAAGTGAAGACTCACTTTTTCTTCCAGAGTCACATGCCCTCACATAAACAAAATTTGAGAGAAGTTCCACACACACATAAAATTCAACAATAAGGAACCATATATAGAAAGAATTCACTCACTCTCAGCAAAGAGCATTCACATGCCACACAGACACACCATAAGCTTGCCCCTAGTGTAATACTCCACTAATCGAGTCATTCAGTCAAAGATCAAGAGGTCTTTATAGGTTGTAATGTAGGCTAAGGGACGGGTAGGATATATTTGGATATAGTGACTAACCTCCCTAAGCACTTTTAATACACACTTCCTTTTATTTTACTTCCATGATCAACCCACTTGTTTCTCCACATTTTGTTTCACTTGCGCCACCCCACTTCTCGTTTGGTACAACTGGCTACTTTTCTTTTTCTCTGTTCTCTTCTTTCTTTCTTTTTTTTTTCTCAGATTTATTATACACTGCCAGTTCACCAATCCGACCTTCATTCTTGATTTTCCCTTCTTCTTTTTTTTTTCTTTCTCCCCACCCCACACTTTGACTTTTGTATATATTTTAGTGCTTCAAGTGCTTCTAGGAGGGAAGAGTTCAATTAGCGTATTTAAACACCACATTTTAGATCATTATAGGGTTATCAAAGAAAAGGCTTCAGGCTCAAAAGGGGTTAACTATGGTAATATGCACAGGTGGATTTTCAAGTATAAAGGGTTAAACAAAGAAATGCCTCAATCATCTCTAAAACCAAACAACTTCTATTTCGCTTTGCAAACACACAGGGCAAGTTCTAGGTATCATATGCAAACATTAGATGCAAGTAACAGCTCACACACACTTAGCATGTAACTCATTCCGAATCAGTTCATCAACACAATCATACGAGTGTTCAAGCAAGTCAAGATGTGCAAAATTAAGGCATTTATTATGAGTCCACAAACAAGCTTAGATGTCACACACTCAGGTTCTTTTCTATACAAGTGTACACATTTGGGGTTACATTCTGACCTTCACCCATTTATTCTTAAACTTCAAAAAGAAAAATCTACCTAACCCGGTTCAAGAAAAACCCTTGGAAAAGAACCGTGGTCAAAAGAAAAACCAAGGGGGAGGTAATACACTACCTAAAAGAAGAAAACAAAATAAAATAAAAATCCTACATGGACTACTTCCCTCAAGAGTATTGTCCACCTAGTCCGTCATCAGGAAAAGTCCTCTACCAGTCGAGTTTTTTTTTTTTTTTTTTTATTTGACTTTGACCCTCAAGAAACCCGTCAAAAAGTGTCCGTCGTTGGGCCAAGTCAGCTAATCCTAATATAACAAACTCACACACATACAACATATTACTCTAATGATACAGCACAACAACATACATCTATATACATTACCATACACAGTCAGAGCAAGTCTCCCACCCCACACTTAAAACAATGGCATGTCCCCATGTCCTCAGAATACAGTAAAGAACAGAAGGGTGAGAAAACTTCCCTGAAACTCAATCTGAGTCGGAGACGGTACTGGGATCGACATGGCAGGCCCTTCCCAATGCACGCAGCCAAGCCATAAACTTGTTCTCAGATCTAGCTTGCCGCTGTGACATGGCGTCCAACCGTGTGTGTAGACCATCCACCGAGGTGCGAAGATCCGCAACCTCTTCCTCCAATGAGCGCAACATAGGCCGGGAGGACTGGGAGCGAGATAGATCCGCTCCAGACTGAGAGCGCCAAGAGGGTCCAGCACTGTCGACAGACCGCCTAGATTGTGCCATAGGAACCGGATCGTCCTCCTCATCATCAATCTCAATGGTAGTGCGAGTGCCCCTCCCCACTCTGATACTGGAAGCTTTGAAAGCTGCTTTTGGGGGCAAGTCACCATCAGCAGGGTTAGTAGGAGTGTTCCTCAGCAAGCATAGCGTGGTTACCAAGGAAGGGAAGTAGAATCCCTTAGACAGCAGCGGTCCCCGTAAGACCATTTCATCNTTACTATCATAGCAGTCTTAGTGGATAACGTGCAATAATTTTTATTTTAATTATGACACAAAATACTCTCAACTTAATGATTTATTATTAAGAAAAAATGTAATTTTGAATAGTTGATCACGCCCAACTATGCCGTATAAAAGGACAATGCGGTCGCTGCAAATATAATCCGGTTTACAAGTCCGGAGTCGAATCCCACAGAGAGTTAACCTATCAACTGCTACCTTCAGACCCACCAAGTCTTCAGAACCAGCTTCCCAAATATTCAAATTCTCAGTTGATTGTTCTTTAATAACTAACTTGCAAGTAAATAAAAGGCTATAACTAAATTAGAAGGGTTGTAAACAATTATGAGAAAAAGCTAAGGCAATGATTTCCCATATTGATGGAATCCCTTCTGTTTATGCTCATACAAATTTACCAACACATCTCTATCAATCATGAACGCTAATCTTACCGCAAATCTCTCCCGAGTAATCACAGTAATCTACTATTGCACTCTCCCGAGATACACTAGCTTGTTTAATTTCGCACAATTCAATTTAAATTGCACCCAAGGCTTCGTTATTCCTAATCCCGCCTTTAACCCCGCAATTATAGATTCCTCTAATAATCTAGGAGTGGTGTTGTTCAACAATACCCTAAATATGCACTCTTTTCCAAGTTATGCACACTAAATAGGCACAGCTAATTGAGGATCCTGTCAATTAACTACAACGAACACGAAGTTGAACAAATAAAGATTTAACTAGCAATTTGTATTCACATAAACAATAAGTTCATCACTCAATAGGTTCCATCAAAGCCTTAGACAAGGAATTTAGCTACTCATGACTATGGGAGAATAAACTAAGCTTGAATTCATCATAAAATCAAAAGAAAAGAAGAAAGATGTTTAGAGAACTTTCTCACAATTGTTTTTCTTGTTAAGAACCCTTAGAAATCAATACATGCCTCTTTTGGGCGAAGTCTAGCGTTTTAAATAGGGTTTAGGTCTAAAAATCCCGTGTTTTACACTTAAGTCCCCGAAGTTTACTGTGCCCACCGCGGTTCTACCGCGGTCGCGGTAGAACCGCGGTCAAACGCCTTCGCGGAATCTTCAACCTTCAGAGACTGCCTTCCACCGCGGTTTCACCGCGGTCGCGGTAGAACCGCGGTGGAACTTGTACCCGGGCATTTTGGCCTGTTTTGAATGGGTTACTTGGGAAATTCAACAATTAGCCTCTTTTCATCAATAGTTGACTCCAAAACCGCTCCTTAGCCTTCCTTACACCTATATCACCTGCAAATCATGTAAAACACTAATAAGAGCATTTTGTTGTCATTTTCCACATTAAAAGTTCACAAGAAGGTGATTATTTGGTGCGTGATTATAGTCAAATTCACCTATTATCAATAGTCAACGATTTGGTAAGAAAATTTGAGGATTTACAAGTTTAGTTACATACAATTGAATAAAGTTCTATTAGGCGAGCCCAGTACCCTGGGCGTTGGGCGTGTCCGGGGCGTAAGCCCCGGTGGCTGAGGCGTAAGTATCACGGAACTAAGCCCCACACATAAGTCCCGAGGCGTTTTACGAGTGCTCCGCCCCGAGGCGAGGCCCGAAATATATATATATATATATATATATATATATATATATATATTATATATTGTATGATTGTACTTGTTACTACATCTTAAACGAGAAAAGAACATCCATGGGCCAAAGGCAAAGACTTGAATTGTCAATCAACAGAAAATATATTTCTTTCCTTCAGATAAAAACAGAAAGGAAAGTGGATTTCCTATGCAGCTAAGAGTTGATGGAAATATCTCATACACGTTCACCATATGAAGACACAAGTCTGAAGGGATAAAGGGGTATACAGAGAACTAATCTAATGCAATTATTTACACGAAGGAGAGAGGGGGTGGGGATAATAGAAAAGGAAAGAAGCTAAAAGGAGCATCAAGTGAGAAACATTGCATCAAGACATTCTTCAAGCAGCAGGCATTGAGGTTGAGATGACCACGTAAGACAAATACTGAAGGCCATCCTGAATTTTACCAATGGCTGTGCTATGATCTGCACGAAGATTCTCCGCATATGCGTTAGCTTTTTCCTGGATTGATTTCTGCGGAACTTCTTGTGAATCAGCAGAAACACCTTTGACTGCTGCTAAATACGCTTCAGCAACTTCCGATATTCCTGCAAAAGCATAATGAAGCTAATCAAGAGGGATAGACGCCACTATTACAGTTCCCCTGAACTTTTAACACCAAAGGGGACATACCAAGAGCAAATGTGTTCTTCCCTAGAAAAAGCTAGATCGAACTGTTCCTTTATAGGGATTCTTTAATTTATTTATTATTATTATTATTATTATTATTATTATTTTGATAATGTTCCTTTGTTCTTCATGCCAAGGGTAGACAAAAATGTCTTAAGGGAAGCAAACCTTCACACTTTCTCCAAGCTCAATGAGCTCATTACAACATTACTAGACCAGTTTGTTCATAACCAGGGGCAGAGAAAGACATCAAACAGTTGAAATAACGATCGCTTAGTAAAGCGGTTCTCCGTAATGGGCCAAAGCATTTACGAGGATCTGGAAAACAAATTCAACTACAATGAAACTTTATACAGCTTGAGGGCAGAATTCACTCAACCAGAAGATTACTTGATTTTACCAATTCCCCAAAGTACTCTTTTTTCAAGATAAAAGACTAGTATCCTACAGTATTGCAATATTTTAGCTTTAAAATTATCGCACTCCAGATCCATTCCAAAAATAAAAGCATCGCCACACACATACTTTTGGCAGAGAGACAATATACACCCACAAAGAACAAGCGATACAATCGTAAGAGACAGTAAGCATCACACTGTTTACACGAATGATTTGCTCATAGAACTTTCAGAAATGGCAATTTCAAGTTTGATCATTCTGATCCAACAAGGAATTTTTTTTGAGAATGGTAACAAAATTCTGATCCAAAAAGGAATTACTAGGCTATCTTCTTAGACCCTGTGTGGGTCAACAGGGTTATATCGATAGAAAAGGAAATCAAATGTCAACTTGTTCTTCAGAATATGACATTCAATGAGCACAGCAAAATGCATGAATAGATATTTGACCAAGCCACAGGAAGAAATAAATAATAACAAACACAAAGCGCACAATCATAAATCACAAAAATTCTGTTATTTGTGCATAACCCTAACCATGTGCTTCGTTTGATGACTTTTTTTAAGTTTTTATATGCAATACCAGAGATCAAACAAAAGGTATGTGATCCATAAATATTAGCAAGGAAACAATGGACGGCAGATGAAAGACTACAAAGGGAAAAAAAGAAACAAAGATAAAAGTCACAAAAGCATGCAATAATATGTTTGACACAAATCTACCTGTAATAAAGCTGGAAGAAACAGCTTCAACACATCCAGTCATTGAACATGCCTTCGCTCGGATTATCTTAGCCCTTTCAGTTGAATCCTCAGGCCAATCCATTTTCACAATTTCCGCATCGGCATCTTGGTCCACAGCTTTATTTGCAGTTGAGATGATTGATTTCCCAAGCATTACAAGTTGACTCGCAGCAAAACAGCACAACTCTGAAAGTCTCTGTGTATATAAGAATAATCTGTGAGAAGTAAGTAGATCCTTTACTCCCAAAACAGAAGCTGCTTGTTTCTTTGATTCAAAAGAAACTCGCAGGCAAACCAAAATATATTATACATACATGGACACCCTCTGAATGAAGTGTATCCAGTCTCCGAGCAGTCCTTTGAATCATGTCATCGGAAGCTAGTCCAACCAAAACATTTGTAAATCTGCAATTCAATGAAATCCAAAACGTAACACCACTATCCCAGTTCTTAGCAACTAGACACAAACTTTTAGATAATCACACTACTAAGGCACAAGAACTCTGTCTAGATTCACGAACTGTCCACATTTCAGTCACATACTCCCTGCCCTGCTCCCATATATTTTTCAAGAACGGGATGCTTGGTAAAGCATATTAAAGTAGAAGGAAAAGCACAAAAAAAATCAAAAACAGGTAAAGCATATTAAAGTTCAATCTTTACCCTGCTGCCAATTCTGCAGCCTTGTTCACACTAGAATCATGCAAATTCTTCACCTCATCAGTGCTATCTGCAATGCCAGTCTCAACTTTCTTCCCTTTTCCTGACTCTGTACTACTTCCATATACTTCAGAACTCAAGTCAAAAATCTGTTGAACCTCTTTAAGTTTTCCATCATATGAAGACCTTTGATCAGATGGAAGCTTCGCTTTTCTTCTGTTGAACAACAAAGCATAATGGTTGGACAATGCCTCCAGCTCCTGCGTGTAATTCATATGATAAGACAAGGGATTTACGGGATGAACTCAACTAGGTATTGGATCAGTATGAGTAGGAAGTGACCTCCAACTGCTCCGGACCTCCATAAATATAAAAGCATCTATCAAAAGTAACTTCCTCATAAAACTGATCCTCGTCTGTTTTTCCTCCCCCTTCTTTGGTGTTTGGGTCAACTCCAATACCAGTTTCTGAGATCAGAAGATCCATAGTTTCTTTTCCAAGTAGCTCAAGCGCATGCATCCCTTTGGCAGTAAAAGCTTTTCCAGTCTGCAAGAAATTGCCCAATATAAACTGCACATTAAGGCACACTCCCTTGCCCAAAAAGATAGAAAATCAAATTTGTCCAAATGGCAAACCTCTAGTATGGATGGTGCAGCAGAACCAGTTGTGGCAGGTAAGCCACCATGCTGAACTGATTCAGCAATACTTAAAGCCGATTCCTCAAGCCTGAAAATACAAAACAAAATATCATTTCTTTGGCAATTTGGGCATTACTAAACGAAGAATAACCAGGTAATGACTCAAAACTGGTTAACATTGCAGGATCACAGAGTTCTCATGCTTAACCTAGAGGTGCTTAATTTTCCATGTTTCCCAACGCAAAATTTGTTTTATTCCAGTCATTTTTCCACCTTAATTTGCCAGAGGGAAATTTCGCCAAATTAATGTGTCAAAATCATAGAAGTTTATACTATGCAGCATTAAATTAAAGCACAATGTAATGTATAACTCAACAGACGTTCAACCAAAAAGAACTCCCTAATTATCCCCTAACAATCAGCTCCATAAAGTACAGCATTGTTTCTCAAGCAGCACAAGATGAGCAACTGCTTAAACAAAATCTAAAAACATGGCTCCCAAATAGCTGGATAAACACCTCTCTGAGGTGAAGGTTTCCAACAGCACGACTAGAAAAAGAATCATGTTGCAATTTTATACAAGCAGATATACATACTTGTGGACTAAATCGGAACCTCCTTTGAATGCGTTTCCTAAAGCTTGCCAAGCTCCTGAAGCGAAATTCTCGACTGAATGGTCAATAACTTTCAAACCCTGCACATAGTTTTGGAAGGTTAAAAGGATGACCATAGCAAACAATTTTAGCATATCTACTTCTAACCTTAAGATACTTCTGTAGAAATTAGCAAAAATAGGGGTAGAATTTTTATCAATATTCAATGCTCAAGAAGAACTTCCATTAACAGTTGGATCGCCTACTGAGTCAACTAAGCAGCACAACAACTAGTTTGGTAGCACTTGCCTGGCCAAGAATTGAATCTTCACTAGCTTTCTCTAACTTTTCCAGAGCAGCCTTGCGTTTTTTGTCATTCTCGTCTTCACTTTCCTCTTCGACCAATACTTCTCGCTCATCCTCTTTTGAGGATTCAGAGTCTTCTGAAGCATCCTGCACATCTGCAAGGTTTTTTGCAGCTATTTTAGCCGCTTCAACAGCCTGCATAAGTGAAAACGCATATAAATATAGCTGATGGAGGCAATCAAGTTTATGTTTAAGTGTGTTTCCCTGCCATAACCACAAAAGAACAAGTAACCTGCACTTGTCAACAGAAAGTTGAGACATTAGAAGGGTGATAACAAGAATTGTATCAACGAAAGTTGAGTTCTGAAAAGTTTATTAATCTGAAGGCTTCAACTCATTTTGTTGATCTGGTGCCGTACAAAGTGTAGTCCTACAGAAAAACTGAAGGTGAAAAGGGAGGGAAAAGTACAAACTCGATACAAATTGACCTAATGCCAACTATTATGTTCCTGATATGTTAACTAGTATGTTAATGATAATCATAGCAAAAGGAAATGTTAATGATCACACATGCTCCCATTTGGGAGTCTATCTGATTTCAGCCTTGTTACAAAATACTCTAAGTTATCAAATATAACTGACATCATCCAGCAATCTTTGGCACCGTTCGGTTGAGGCATCGCGAAAATTGTAATAGGTACCATTTACCGAAAGGGAGTGTCCGAAACACACTAATTGTCAAATTCCTAGATCAGATGATAGATCTAGCAAAAACTCATTTTGTCAAATATTTGAAATATAAATGAAGTTACTCACAGTTCACTCACACAACTCGGCTAACAATGACAACATCTCATTAACCGCTAATTTTTATATATAATATCAAAATGAGGTAAAACAAACAGCAAAAGCAGCTACGTTACAAATGCAACAAAAAAAAATAGAGTTATGAAATGTAAGGGAAGATGAGTACATTGCGGGAGATCTCTTCGGCAGCGGTAGTAGCAGCTTTCTGAATGTCCGATATATAAGAAAACGCAGAAAATCCCCAGCCTCCCCATCCTCCACCGCCTCCTTGCGGCGGAGGTTGCTGAGCTTCCTCCTGCTTTTCCACTATCTCTTCATTCGAAGGCTTCGTCGTGTTTTCCGCCATTTGAGAAGATCGTAGTGTCGATGCAACTTTATCAGTTTTCACCGCCGGGAACTGGTCAACAAATTGAATCAACTGATAGTCTTCGCGATCTTGTTTGTTGAGGCAAAACGTGCTTATTACGGCAAAACAGGTAAAAGACGATGTCGTTTGGTATTACAGTGCACCGCTGACCCGACGTTGATTTAGTGCACAAAAATTTGAGAAAATCTAACTTTATACCCATTAAATTCAAACTATTTACCCTTTAATGCTCATGCCCAAACTATTTGCTATTCCTACCCATGGGACCCAAATTAATTACCTACTAATTTTCCAACCGCAATCTACAAACAAAAGCTGAGCTAGAATTCTGGTAATTATGCAGCAGCATACTGTCAAAAACATCAATAATAGGCTTTTTTTGAAACATATCTCGAACCCAACTAGGTAAATCAACCCCTGTGTTCTTGCCAATTGCTTCCGACGGGGGCTTACCGGTCAGTAATTCCAACAGCAAGACACCGAAGCTGTAAACATCAGATTTCGGAGAAACATCGTAGGCATTTTCCACTTCTGGTGCTTGATAGCCAGGGATTAGGACAAACTTGGAGTTTGGCACGAAAAGTCTGAAAATTCCATTTCTTGAGAGACGAACATTGAAACAATTGATGAGTAAAACATTGGAATAGAGATTCAAACTCCAAAAGAATATCCTTAGTTTTGTGTGGCAGTAATAATATTTGTGGGTATGGCATTTACAGAAGTCTCTGGTCATTTACGTCTCTGGTCCCGTGCTAATATCATCCTTTGAGAATCTTTCCATTATCCACCATTGTTGGGCTTGAAGCTCAACTTTATTTTTGAAGATTTATTGTTTGATTCAAAGTGGGTGCTGTTAAATATTGCTTAAAGTACCTTATGAAAGTTCATACTGAAATTTGATAGCATTTGGAGCTGATTCGAGGTAATTGAGATCGAAATTTTTCAGTTGAAAATCGAAGAAGAACACAGTTGTATACTGCTACGGTATACAATATGTTGTAGGAGTATATAGCTATACTGCAACAGTACACTATTATAGTTTACAAAACAGTATACCGCTACAGTTACTAATATACTATAGGAGTATATAGTTATACAGCACTATTATAGTATACAATATATTATTATGGTATATTGTAATAATCTGCAAGATACTGTAACAATATGTTGTAATAGTATGGAATATACTATAATAATATACTTATTACCCGTAAATTCACTTGCCTTTTCCTTTTTAATTTGTTTTAAGCTTTTACCCAGCGTGAAGAGCAAATTGAAAATGCAAATATATATATATATAGTATGCTATATAACGTAACGATATACTCTTACAATTAGATCCTTTTAGAATTTTTTAAATTTTTTATTGACAACTGATATTATTTTAGTTTAATAATTGAATTGAAATTTTTTTTAACTCTTTGCGCACAATTGTATACACTGTTGGTATAGTTATATACTATACTGGTATCATATGTTAGTTAATATTTATTTGGTTGTATTAGCTACATTTAATTGGTACACAATTTGATTTTTATTTAGTAACAATATAAAAATAGAATAATAAAAAATAGTGAAAACAGTAAATGAAATTAGATTATGAAGAGAAAAAGAATATAAAAAAAAAGTTAAATGAAATTAGAAAATGAAAAAAGAAAAAAATAAGAAGAAAACGAGAAAAACAAAAAGGAGAAAAGAAAAAAAAAGAAAAGAAAAGAAGCATAGAAATAAAAAAGAAATGGAGAATAAAGAAAAAATTCTCCACAAAAACCTACTATGGGTAGAAAATATAATTAGTTTATGGGTAGGAAAACAAATGGGTAGACAAGGATAAATAATTTTGTTTTTGTAGATAACTGTGTCAAAAGGCCTTTCTTTTGTTTTTGTACTTTTCTCCTTTACAATAAATGATTTTATGGCCTTTTGCACCTCTTTAAGAAAATATTAATTCCTATAACTTTGACTAAATTATTCTTAATTAAAATTTATATATTGTTAATTTGACACATTGGGTCTAGTAAAAGAATACTTAAATAAGGACAAATTTAAAAAATAAACATGTCACTTGTCATCAGAGCCGTCAAAATGGGCTTGACCCGTGAGGCCAGCCCAATTCAACCCGCTACTTGGGTAGGGTTGGGCTAGAAATTTTTGAGCCCATTTAAAACTGAGGTTTATAAGCCCGGCCCAAGTAAGCTCGTTGGCCCTTGAGGCTTGACCGAGTCTAGGCCTGGGCCGGCCCGCGGGCCAAAATTTAATTAAATTCAAATTAATTACTATTAAATATTTAATATTTTAAAAAAAAGTAAAAAGTAAAAAACTATTAACTATAATCCTCATTCCCCAATCCTAAATTGCTCATATACCTTTCCACATCAACTAGAATTTAGATTTTTGACATGCATGTAATATGACAAAATTAGTTTTTCTTTTGCTTAATTGATAACGAACTCGAAAAGTCTTAGGTAGCCAATAAAATCTTTTCTCAAAAGAAAATATTACTTTAAGTGGCCAATGATCAGTTTGGATTACTTTAATGCATTATTAATATTTAAACTACTCTTCAGTATAGATAAAGATCAGTTTTAAATACACACACAAAAAAAATTGACCACTAGCAAATTTCAAGAATTTTAAAAAATTTATGGACTATAATGATGAAATCAACAAATGATGTCAATCCTACATTAAAAAACCTCAGCATATAAACTTATTAAAATAATCTCTGAATCTGAGGAAAATGAAAGAAAGGTATTAAGAAAATATTCATGTAACTTTAAAAAGAAGAACAAGAGATATAGAGAATTTGCATTTCAATTACGAGATTCTTCATCAAATATCAACATTTTTGTACGCTCTAAGCAAATAGAAGTTGTTTACATGATTAATCGACTATGTCACGAATAAATATTTAAGGATTTAAAGAATCTTTTTTTTAAAAAATAAATAAAAATTGAAGGGCCGGCCCGCCCTAGCCCGAGGCCCTCTTAGGGCTGGGTTGGGTTGACCATTTTAAGACACATTCATATGGCGGGCCGGCCCGTCCTCGCCCGCCAAATTTAAAAGCCCACGAGGCTTGGGCTGGGCTAGCCCATTTTGACAGCTCTACTTGTCACGGACAGAAGGTAGTCTCTTTCGATGTTCCTACCATAATTGTTCCTTACAGCTAGGGGTGTTCATCGGTCGGTACGATATAGTATTTAGACATTTCAGTTCGGTATTTTCAGTATTCGGTTTCTTAAAATGCTATAACAATACCGTACCTAATTAAATTCGGTATGGTTCGGTTTTTCTCCTTTCGGTTTCGGTTTATTCGGTCCGCTAACTTCGATTTATTCGGTTTGAATACTAACTTGTGCGTAGAGTCATAGAATGTAATATTTTTAATTAAAGTACTCAAAAGTACAAAACTAAAAATATTTTTTGACAAAAGTTTTATCCAAAATCAATAAATATCAACCCAGAGAGAGAAAATTGTACATAAAAGAATAAATTTGATCATTAGAAATGTTTGTTACTTGCTTAGAGCTACTTGATGAACTTAGAGAATAAAGCAAAGCAAAATTTTAAATTTTTTATATTTATGTTATAATTAATAATATGTGTATTGTGCAATAATATATATATAGATATATATATTTCGGTACGGTATCTGTATTTCGGTATTTCATTTTAAAATACCAAATACAATACCAATATTCCAAATTGAACAACTCGTGACTACTTTTTAATTAACACGATACAACAAGTAGGGGTGTTCATGGTTCGAATTGGGTCGGTTTTTCCATAAAAAGAAACCAAACCAAGTAAGTCGATTTTTCAAATATTAGAACCAAACCAAACCAATTAAGTCGGTTTTTTTATCGATTCGATTTTTGTCGATTTTTTTTATTTTTCGGTTATTTATCTGTTTTTTTTCTTAAATATGAAACATACACTACCAAACGCATATTATGGCCACTACATTTTCAACGTAACACTATCAAATCAATTGGTCTTTGAGAAATCAATCATTTACCAAGATATATTGATGATATTTCAATCAAATAGTGATGAATAATTTAAGTACTCAATTAAAAATCGGTTATTTTTAACATGAAATAAATTTTTGTACTTAACAAAAGAAAACTACCAAGCAAACTAGAATGTTAAAGCAAAGAATTAGATGATTATAATAGCAAAGAACTAGACTAAAAATATAAATGACTAATATGTAACATAAATTTTAGAAACTTTATATAATATAGGTGTAATAATAAATTTAAATAGCTACTTTTATAGTCGGTTTGGTTCGGATTTTTTTTGTTTTTTTTTTTATTAAAATCAAAACCAAACCAATTTTGATCGATTTTTAAAATTCAAAATAAAAAACAAACCAAACCTAAAAAGTATCGGATTTTTTTGTCAGTTTGGTTCAGTTTTCGATTTGGTTCGATTTTTCTAGTTTTTATGAACACCCTAGCAACAAGGATAAAAAAATCCCATAAGTTTTGTGACCAACAGATGAAATGCAGCGCACTTCTTGCAGCAGTGACAAACTTCTAGCTCATTCTCATTCAAGGTAATTGACATGATTAAAATGCTGGGAACGTAAAAAAAGAAAAGTAGACAAAAGTATGTTGAAATTGCATAATGTTTTGTTGAATCAGCACATCCAAGAAAAAAATTCCAATATTTTCTGGTGTACAGCGTACAAAGCTCAATGAATCGTTAAAATTGACAATGTAAACGAACTTTTCAATGATTATATATGTTTACAGATTGATTTGTACATATTCTTTGAACTAGTTATCGTCTGAAAATAAGAATGGTGGACCCCCTTAATAACCTTGGAAAATTGGTGGCGGTGGTGATGCATATAGCGAGCCCAATGATGGAGGAAGAGCAACATCCTCAAAAGTTGGTGGAGGTGGAGGTGAGGCTACAGGTGGGGGTGGTGAGTGGATAGGTGGTGGTGGAGAGAATACTGGAGGAGGTGGAGGTGATGCTACCGGCGGTGGTGGTGAGTGAACGGGAGGTGGAGGTGAGGCCACTGGTGGCGGTGGTGAGTGAACAGGAGGTGGAGGTGATGCTACCGGAGGCGGTGGTGAAGCCACTGGTGGTGGTGGTGGTGGTGGTGGTGAGTGGACGGGAGGTGGAGGTGACGCTACTGGAGGCGGTGGTGAGTGGACGGGAGGTGGAGGTGAGGCCACTGGTGGTGGTGGTGACGCTACCGGAGGCGGTGGAGATCGAGCTGGAGGTGGTGGTGAAGCCACCGGGGGTGGAGGTGAGTGGACTGGAGGTGGAGGTGGTGAGTGGACTGGAGGTGGAGGTGGTGGTGGCGAGGCTACGGGTGGTGGTGGGGGAGGTGAGGCCACTGGTGGTGATGGGGTTGGTGTAGGTAGAGGAGGTGGCTTTGGTTTTGGACTCGCAGGTTTTGGTGGAGATTTTTTGGGCGTTGAAGGGGTATTTTCTTTGGGTGGATCCTTTGGACTTTGCCCTTGTGGTGAAAATCCACAATGACCTTTACTACAATCAACAGGATTGCTCAGAACTGGTAAACATTCCTTCTCCGTCCTTTGATCTGGTTGTTCCTGCAAACAATTTTCCTTACCTTCTATTTCCAGATCATGGGAGTGCGACGGCGTACATTTTTGGTCCAAGCTCTCAAAATAGTTGTTGGAGAATGTCAAATTGGCCAACTTGGGCAAAGTACAAAGGTTTTCTGGAACATTTCCCATGAATTTATTGGATGCAATGTCAAAGACTTCAACTTTCTGCATGTACTTCAAATCCTTTGGTAAGGATCCAACGAACTTGTTTCCGCTAATGTCTAACGTCGTTAGGCTCGTGAGCTTAGTAATTTCTTCAGGTAAACAACCAGAAAGATCATTGTTGGTGAAAACAAGCTCATCTAATGTGTTACTCATTTTGCCAATGCTGCTTGGGATGCAACCAAAGAATTTGTTATTCGCCAATACCACCACAGAAGCATTGGAATTGCCCAGGTTTTCAGGGATGGTAGAATGGAATCGGTTATTGTTAAGAAATATGGCATCAAGATTCTTTTCAAATAAGGCAGGGGGCACTAGACCTTCAAAATTATTGAACCTAAGATCAAGATATTTAAGGTTAGGTAATTCCAGCACAACGTCTGGGAATGGCCCTACGAAACGATTGTTGCTGAAATCAATCTCATCTAAAAGCGTAAGATTTTTAATGCTCTTAGGAATGATTCCACAAAACCGATTAGAATTAATGTGGATAAGACTAACATCAGATAAAAGGCCAAGCTCGACGGGGAGGTGTCCAGCTATGTCTGCATGGTTAAGATCAATGCCAGCAACAACAGAGATATTGGGATCGTCGAGAGCATTGTCACAAAAGACACCATTATAGGCACAAACACTAGGACCTTCCCAGTTAGCCGTGAAGTTTGTTGGGTCGGAGTAAATAGCTTTCTTCCATGCCTGAAGAGCAATATAAGCTTTCTTCAACCTGGCATTCGCGAATTTCATGTTAATGGTCATCTGATCATACTCGCCATTGTCAACCAAAAGCTGGCGACGAGCAATGGAAGCAGCCTCAACATCAATTAATGCAAAAGAAGATGAAGAAAGAGAAATGAATGATACAAGGAAGAAGAGAAAAAAACGCGAGGCCATAATGCTTGGATTAAGTCCACTTGGGTAAGGCCCAAGGCTGCTTATAGCAATCTATCTTGCAAAGGAAAATGGAGGGTTTTATATGTATGCAAAGGAAGGAATATTCGTGGTTGATAGGTTATTACTGAAGGTGTTTGAATTTGGAACCATATTTTGCGGAAGCTTGTTTGAGCACCATGAATTTGGAAGGTCAAACTAAACTTAGACACAAATTTAGGGTATTCGTTAAATTTCTTGGAATTAAGAAATGAATGAATAGGGGTAATATTTGATCCATCCTTTACCTACTAGCATGGAAAATCACCAATTACACGAGTTCTTTTTACCATCTAAAACAAATGGACATTAATTCGTAAACAGGTTTTATTTCTTTATGATAGCAAATAATTGCCTCATTTTTTCATTAAGTTTCAAATATTCACAATGCATTGGCTTTACCGCCAAAGTGTCGTGAAGCGGATGAGGCTACTCTTTCCTTAACCAGAGGTCTCGGGTTCGAGCCCTGGGTATGGAAAAATTCTTGGTAGGGAGCGCTTCACCCCGAATGGGGCCCTCGCGAATCCAAATATATTCGGGCTCCAATGCGGATACCGAACACAAAAAATACACTGGCTTTCCTACTGGATCTTAGTTTTTCACTAGATTGCTCCGACTCCTCTGCCAAAGCTCTAAAAGCGGGTGCTTTTGTTCTTCCTTTGATAATTCTTCCAGTCTCCTTGGCAGATTCCATTTAGATGACAATATATCCCTCAAGAAAATAATCTTTATTTATGGTGTGTTGTTAGTTCCTGAACCCACAGTTTAATGACGCAAACTACTGATTAAGTGGCTTTCAAGTCATAGTGAAATTAAAAGCAAAAATAGATGATGTGAACCATGTGCTCCTTGCTCTTAGGAGTACCTACAAAAATACTATAGTATTCAACAATCAGATAGGAGATTCCCCTGTTGTCTTTAAAATGTCTTTGGCAGACGATGAAACTTAATCACGGACTGCCTATTTCCATTTGGTCTTTTCTCTTCAACACAGCCCACCTACCCACCCAAAAACCACCACCACCACCATGGAGCCAAGTAGCCAACAGGCCAAGATTGTTAGTTTGATAAAATTTGGATCATTTGTAAGACGGATTACAACCTCCATAGTCGCTAGAATCTATAGATCCAAAGTAGGATAGGACCCACAAATATACCGAAGTTAGGCGCTTAGAAACCATAAGGTGCTTAATCATCAGACCAGGGCATTAACATACCTATGTTTTTAACTAGTAGGATTAGCAAACTGAGAAAGGGGAAAGCGACATCAGTTTCTCACCATCTAGAAAAGACCTCAAAGGGCATGTAAAAACTAAACTTTACTGCAATAAAAATTTCCCAAAACCAAACCATATTTACATTCAAAACAAATGGAAACTACTAAGCAATAAAGTAAACTATTTTATGCTACACTAACAAAAAAATACGTGATAACATCCCACAAATTTTGCCACATTGGCCAAGATAACACCATTCAACTCCACTTCTTGACCTTATTACTTGGTTCATTAATAAGCGTGCTTTTTATCGATTCCATGTCAATCAAGTGCTGACGAGTACCAAACAGGATGTGTTCCTTTGGCTCTGAGAAGTCTAGTAAAGGGTGAATCTGGCATTCTAGCCTTCTCCTCTTCTTCAAGCTCTTCTCTGCTCTTTGGCAATCCATCAGGGACAGGGCAAGGTCTTGCCACTTTTTCCTCAAGATTCGCCATCTTGGCTGATTCTTTGCTTGCTCGTTTTGCTTTGTGTATGTCTGAAACTCCATGTAAACAGCCAATTAGAGTTTTTACTCCCCCTGCTTGAAGTATTAGCCTCTCTACCTCCTCCTTAGGTGCTTCTTTCTGGAAAGAATCAAAACCAAAAACAAGTGTGAAGGTGCTATACAATATATATCTTAAAACAACGACAACTTTTGGCCAATTGTTCTATTTGGATTTACAAAAGTCTCAAGCAATTGGCTTGATGGATATATCTAATGGAAACTACGAGTATATCTGTAGTATGGGACTACTTTCATTCATATGATCAGTATTTAGTACAGCTTAAGGATCCTATTTGGATGTAATTATTTGCTTACTTTATCTGGTAGACACATACACACAACAACTACTTCAACTCCAACCAAGTTAGAGTCGATCACATAAATCCTCACTGCCCAACCTGCTTCATTTAAGCTGTCTCAGTCCAATATTACACAAAATAAAAAGTCTGTACTAGAGAGTGTCCTTCCTCAATGATGCCGCCCTCGCACTAGTCTGACCAACCCAGAAGGCATGGACAAGTCCACATATGCACACAATGCCATACAAAATTTTCAAGTCCCATTCGACCAAAGCCTAAACCAGATAAGCAGCTAAAACAATCTCCACAATCCTCCCAAGATGGTATTTCTTACAAAGACTCAACAATTAATTTGTAAAAATACACTCCACAACTAATACAAAGCAATCTCATTTTTATTACCCCTAAGAACCAACTCTCTAGACAGGAATTACGTAATCTGTGGAAACAAAAGCCTACTATCAGACAACACATAGTGTACAGTAGCAAGACTCCATCAAATAAAAAGGCTACAACATTATATTTCAAGAACCTATAACAGTGTGCTGATTGAGAACTTACTTCAAGATCTTTGAGTTCAAAATAAGCCTGCCAGCAGCTATAGGAATCATCCCCTTCTAGAACAGAACAATAATCTGCACATAAACATACACAGAGTACTCCATTAGTAATTTAACAAGCAGATAATACTTACTTTAGACAACAAACAAACAAGTCCAGTTACTAGATCCCAATTTTTATTTTTTATTTTTTGTGAATATAGACATAGTTTTTTTTTTTTTTTGAATGAAACTTAGGTATTTAAAAATTTGTACACACAAATTGTACAAATATTAAGAATAAAAAATGATTGAATTAAACAAAAAGCTATTTAACCCCAAATACTAATAACAACAGTGCAAAAAGAAAGTTCGCTACTACTTAAAGTAAAAGATTTCCTTTCAAACATTACCAAAAAGTATGGCTTAGTGCGGGTTGAAAACTTCATCCCAGAAAAAGTGGGTTTAGAACTTGAGGTCTCGGGTTCAAATCCCGACAGTAATAAAGAAACTAGTGATTTCTTCCTCTTTATCCAAATCTTGGTGGATGGAGTTTACTTGATAGCCAGGCGAGAGGTAGTAGGTATCCCGTGTGGTGCGTGCAAGCTGACCCGGAAAAAAAAATACTACCCAAGGGCATGACATGGAGCTGGAATGAAACATGCAGGGTTCAGATCCAAGCAAAACCTAGGTAATTTCTTAAACTGTTATAGGCTCTGCTCGTTAAAAAAACAATGAATTAGTGAAAGTGCGTGTAAGCTGGCTCGTATATTAACTTCTAAAAAGAAAACGAGAAATTCCCCTGGAACCACTATTTTTATATAAAGCAATTCTTTATTTTTTCATCAACCATTCAGGAAAGAGAAATTTTGAAGAATGTGTTATAACATTAAACGAGTGAGCAATCTAATCAATAACTTACAAGCAAAGGAAACGTAAAATCAAGAAAATACAGGTACGTGAAATTAAGATCTGGACAATACCTGCAAGTTCGTTTTCGGACTTTTCAATCAAAGGAGGGTCTTTTACAACTCTATCGAACTTGGTTCTGCTAAAAGGCTCCAGCTTTGGAATATAAGCATGGCTCCTTGAACAACAACGTATTGTCGACGAATTAATTACATCAAATCTTGAAGAAGATGATTTTTTTGAAGAATATTGAAGCTCATTAGCTCCAATAAGAGAAGAAGATAAGGAATTTAAAGTCACTGCTTGTAACACCATTGCTATTTTTAGAAACCAGATAAAGAAGATATCATCAAAATGCTTAATAATTGTTGAGGGAATTTAAGGATATAAATAGAAGATGAGTTAGATATAAAGAGAAAGGAGGAGTCAGAAGGAATTGGGAATGGATAAGGATGAGATTTTTTTTTAATACTTTTCCACTAGAAGAGAGATAGTATTACTTGTTGGTGTTGATTAGATTTGTGATAATTAAATCACGGCCGTTGATTTGTGCCTGTATGTGATTGTGATCAATCTGCGATCGTAAAATGGAAACGTAGGATGCGGCGGCCTGTTATACAGTGCCACTTTTTTCCCTGGGATATTTTAATGATAATACTGTATGTGGAAAATTTAAAGATATTTTTTTTGAGCCCACAGTTTTTCCTTTGCTTTGTACTTTTTGCTTTTTCAACTTTGTAATTTGTCTTGAAGGAAAAGAAAGAAATTTGTTATTGCCATCTTCTGCATTTGGTCCCTCGAAAGTTTCTCGATACTAATAAGCATATCTGGCCAAATTTCTTTTTGGTCAAAAATATTCTTTTTTTAAAGTTAAAGTATTTGGCCAAATTTTTTAAAGAAAAAAAATATTTTTGAGTAAAAAAAGAAATAGTTTTTAAGAAGGAAAAAAAATAGTTCCTTCCCAACATCACTTTTCTGAAAAATATTTTTGAGAAAAATTACACTTAAAACATTTTTAAAAAAACATGATTAAATGTTAATTACTGTTCAAAAGTACTTTTTAAATTAGCCAAATATAAATTATTTCACCAGAAGTATTTTTTGAAAAGTATTTTTCAAAGATAGCTGATTTTAGAAGCTTGGCCAAATAGACTATAAGTAAGCGTTTGAACATAAAAACATAATTTTAAAAAAATTAATTTATAGAGTTAAAGTTTTTAAAAAAGTAGTTGAAATTCGAAAGTATTTTACTTGAAAAACTGTTGTAATTTTATGAGAAAAAACGAAACTTTAAATTAAAAAGTGATTAAACTCACTTTTTCAAACTTGGAAACTCATCTTGAAAAAAAACTTTCAAAAAAGTAGTACAACGAAACAAGTTTTGAAAAAAAAAAAAGGAACAATTTTGTATGCCCAAACGGCCAAATTCTAACATATAAAAAATAGCATGTTCGTTACTTGAAAAATATTCATAATTACCTCACAAGTAATTTGATTGTGTAATCTTTCTTTA